CTCATTAAAGAATTCGTCCATGTAGCCCACATTACCGTCGACATTGACGGCAACGTCATCTGTTCCCATGTCATCCTCATCGCTCTGCGCCTGGAACGACAAAGCCAATGACGTCAGCGAGAAGCAAAATAAGGCATAAAATAAAACTCACTGAAGCTAATAAATCCCACACCTATAACCTTGGCAACCATCGCTAACTACACTGTCATCTTCGTCGCTTCGGTGAGCGTGACGACGAAGGTCTAAATGGCAATGTAAAAGAGAGAGAGAAGATAAAAGGAAGAAAAAAAATCGCATGATTCATTACGTGAGAACAAGACTGCACCGGAATCTCTTCCCGAAATTACACTGTTTTGCCAGCGGGTGAAATTATAGCCGGCTGACCAATGGCGCGACACTAATTTGCATACGCGTGGCTCAACAACGGCACCCGAGGTTTGTAATAACGATTTACTACGACATCCCTTCTGCAGAGAAACACATGTTGAATAGTAAGTAAGGCGGAATCCCTTGTACTTTTCCCTGCTGTCTCTCTCTATACCTCTAGTTTCTTGTCTTGTTCCTTTTTATCTTCTGACTAAATCATAATCTACCTTGCGCTATTCCGTTCTGTTCCCTTTCTGTTTTCCATGTTCTATCTTTTCCTTTTACTCTTCACTCTCTGTCTATTTTATTTTTCCCCCTTTTCCTAACCCATTCAGTTCTCCTTCTCCTCTTTCTTTTCTTCCTTTCCCCTACTCCTCCTCCTCCTTTTTCTTCTATTCTCCTTCTCCTTCCCCTTCTCCCTCTCCCTCTCCCTCTCCTTCTCCTTCTCCTCCTCCTCCTCCTCCTCCTTTCCCATTCCCTTCTTCTCCCAAGGCCAGCAGCCACGTACAATGCTCGAACAAAGGAACGGGATCCGCACTTCTTGGGATCGCTCACGTCCTCGCAGCGAAGATCTCAGCCGGCGACGTCGAATAATGCACGAGCATCTCATTCACGTCACGTCTAATTACATCACGTCATGAGGGGTCATGTCCAAGATCCGTTTCCTTTTCTTCGAGCGTCTAAACGTCTACTTTACATCGGCACCCAAGGCAGGCCGTCCTGGGAGCCGGGTGGCCGTCGTCCGTGATCTCAGCACAAAGCTTTACACGGACGCGGCGGAAAAACCCCGGTGAAATCTCAGTTCCACGCAATCTCACGTCGACATCCATCAACGCTTCTTCCATCTTCGAGCCTCCATTCATCCATCGCTTCGGAGGCAAACGCTTCCATGGCACATCCAAATTGCTATTACGCCACGCCCACTCGTCCTCCCGCGCCGCATCCACTACGCCCACGAGCCCGGCATTCTCGGCCACTTCCATCCCTTTGAATCCTACAGGCTGACGTCGCTCGGGCTGGGACTGACGCGGGCGACATTTCCCCTTAGGTCAAAGGTCACGCCATGGGGACGACCATAAATAACAGCGATGCGCCTCGGCACCATGCCAGGATGCCATGTCCGAAGGGGAGGGGGGGAGGGGGTACAGGGGCTCAGGACACAGAATCCTTGGGACGGCCACGCTCACCCTTCCCTTGCTGTTTCATTCCGTCGTTGTTTATATTTAAAAAGCAGGATTTTGTTTTCACCATTAGGGTCTATTACTCATTGCGGTCTATTATCCTCCTCCTCTCCATTCTTCCCCGATTTTCCCCGAGAACTCTAGCATCTTCAACGGATGCGGCGAGTTACCGCCAATCATCACAGTCCCAAGCAATCGCATTACGACCCCTTGGCCACAGTGACCGCCGCCATTACTCTCATCACCAACGTCTTGCAGCGACTTTGCTCTGGTCCTAGGATTGCCCTTCCTTGCACGCGCAGCTGCCCCTCCACCCCCTATGGCCCTGCAATTCCTCGACTCTTCCCTCATCACGCCCTCGCCGCGGGATTCTGTCCCCTTTGGGCGGTCTGAATGCCTCTCTGCCTGTCTGTTTGTTGGTCTCTTTTTCTTTCTTCCCCTGTCTGTCTGTCTCTCTCTCTCTCTCTCTCTCTCTCTCTCTCTCTCTCTCTCTCTCTCTCTCTCTCTCTCTCTCTCTCTCTCTCTGTTTTCATCTCCATCTCCTTCTCCCTCTCATTCTTCTTCCTTTCTCCCTCTTCTGTCTCCCTCTTCGCTTCCCTTGATTCTCGCTCTCAATCTCATTCTTGTTTTCTTTCTCCCTCTCCCTCTCTTCCTCATCCATACCCATTCATCCTTTATTCCTTTGCTCACTCACTCTCAACGCATTGCCACGCCCCCCCTACCCCCCTCACCAAGTCGTCCTGTAATCAGTGATCACTACACCCCCCCTCCCTCACCTCTCTCTTGCCTTCCTCTTGCTCCTTCCTTCTCACCCCTCTCCTTCTTCTTCTTCTTCTTCTTCTTCTTCTTCTTCTTCTTCTTCTTCTTCTTCCTCTTTTTTCTTTCTTTCTTTCTTTCTTTCTCTTTTTCTTTCTCTTCCTCTTCTCCTCCTCCTCCCCATCACTTCCCACCTCAACCCCTCGCCGAGAGACCCTACTCCCGCAGGTATTAAATGAAAGAGGGAGGCCGATTCCGTAGAGATACTTGATCTCCTCTTCCCTATCTCCCCTTTCGCGTTCCCCCTCCCTCTCCCTCTCCCTCTCCCCCTCCCCCCCACTTCCCCCCACGAGTAACTGACCAGCCGCACGGTATATTCTTAGCCCAGACTTCAGTAAATACCGTCCCCCAGTAGCGAATGATTGTTAAAGAGACGTAAGGAGGAGTTTCTCACCAGTATTTCGCGGTCTGTGAATACGTGTTGCGAATTGTGAATTGTGAATTGTGAATCGTTTATTTCATCCCCGCTCTTACTCTCCCCCCCTCCTTTTCTCCTCCAACCTTCAAAATGCATTCTATGCCTCTTCCTCTCTCTCTCTCTACTTACCTCTTTCTCCTTCAAGTTATGTATTCTTTTTTATCTCTATCCTACATTTCTACCTTCCTGACCCCCTCCACGCATGCATTTATCCTCTTCGTATCTCCATCTCCCCTTTCTTCTCTTCTTCCTATCCACACCTCGAATCTGTTCCTCTCTCCTGTTCCTTACGTGCATCTACACTCGCCCACTTTATTTCTTTCACTCTCTGTCTGTCTGTCTGTCTGTCCTTCTCTCTCTCATCCCTCTCTTCCCCTTACTTTTTCCTTCTTCCTTACCTTCCTCTCTTTCTCCCTTTCTCCTGATGCCCCCTACTCTCTCCTTCCTTACTTACCTTACCCTCTCCTTGTATCTTACTCTCACTCCCTCCCCTTCCTTCTCTCTTTGTTCTTTATCCCTATTCTTTCTCTCTTTCTTCAACCCCCTCTCTAGCTCTCTCTATTTAAATCTTTCATCTCCCTCTCCTTCTCTCCCTCCCTCTTTCTTTCCTTCCATAATAATTTACATCTGTCTTATTTCCCTTGTCTCCCTCTCTCTCAATCTCTCCCTCCCTCCCTCCCTCCCTCCCTCCCTCCCTCCCTCTCTTTCTCTCTCTCTCTCATTTTTCATTCCTCTGCCTCTGCCTCTCTCGCCCCCCCCCCCCCCCCCTCTTTCACCAGCTCACACTCACGCGCCTTTAACCTCACACTCTCATCTCCATCCGCCCGCGTTCTCATCGCTGTTTCCATCTACATCTCTATCTTCGTGTATTTCTCTTTCTCTCTCCCTCCTCCTCGTTCTTCTTTTTCTTCTCCTCCACTCTTCGTCCTCCTCCTCCTCCTCCCCTCTTAGTCTTCCTACCCTCCTCCCCTCCTGCTCCTTCCCTCTTCCTCCTCCTACCCCTCTTCCTCTTCTTATCTCTCTTCTTCCTACCTTCCTTCTCTTTTCCTCCTCCTCTTCCTCTTCTTCCTATCCTCCCTTCCCTCGTCCTTCTCCTCTTCCTCTTCTCCTCCTACCTCCCTTCCCTCTTCCTCTTCCTTCTCCTCTTCTTCCCCTTCCTCATTCCCTCACTCCTCCCCCTCCCCCCTCCCTCCCTCCCTCCCTCCCTCCCTCCCTCCCTCCCTCCCTCCCTCCCTCCCTCCCTCCCTCCCTCCCTCCCTCCCTCCCTCCCTCCCTCCCTCCCTCCCTCCCTCCCTCCCTCCCTCCCTCCCTCCCTCCCTCCCTCCCTCCCTCCTCCTCCTCCTCCTCTCCTCCTCCTCCTCCTCCTCCTCCTCCTCCTCCCTCCTCCTCCTCCTCTCCTCCTCCTCCTCCTCCTCCTCCTCCTCCTCCTCCTCCTCCTCCTCCTCCTCCTCCTCCTCCTCCTCCTCCTCCTCCTCCTCCTCCTCCTCCTCCTCCTCCTCCTCCTCCTCCTCCTCCTCCTCTCCTCCTCCTCCTCTCCTCCTCCTCCTCCTCCCCGTAAAGCACATTCCTGAACTTTAAGATTTTGGAATCCATACTCTCTCTTCAGACACTGCACCCGCCCCCCCCCCCCCCCCCCATTCCCACCCCCAACCCCATTCCCATTCCCACCCCACCCCCTCGCCGTCGCCTCCAGTGATGGTCATTAACACCGACGGGTTAGCATGATTTGGCCGGCCTGGATTTGCCAAGACTTCCGTTCTTGGGCTTCGACTGCAAGGCTTGGTTTGTTTGGTTTGCATGGTCTGGTTTGCCTGGTTTGACTTGCAAGGCTTGGTTTGTTTGGTTTGCACGGTCTGGTTTGCCTGGTTTGACTTACAAGGCCTGGTTTGTTTGGTTTGCACGGTCTGGTTTGCCTGGTTTGACTTACAAGGCCTGGTTTGTTTGGTTTGCATGGTCTGGTTTGCCTGGTTAGACTTGCAAGGCCTGGTTTGTTTGGTTTGGTTTGGTTTGCAAGGTTCTATTTGTTTGGCTTGGTTTGTCTGGTTTGGCTTGCAAGGTTGAGTTTACTTGGCTCGTAAGGTTGAGTTTGGTTGGCTTGTGAGGTTGAGTTTGACTGGCCACATCAGCCCTGCCTGGCTTGACCTGGGCTCCTGAGACGGAATAGCTTGTCCCGCCTTCGTTCGCCGGGTCGAGCCAGGCCCCGAGGCTCGCCGTGGTTAGGCAGAGTTAGTGGTCTCGCTCGGCCCCAAAACAAGGCTTGGCAAGGCTTCAAGTCCACTTTACAGAGCGCAGGGTTCTTTATCCTGGAA